TGATTCTATGATGAAGGAACATTATAGCTGACATAGATCTGGCTCTGTTCTCAGCTGCTTCCACCTGTCTTTTCCCTTTGAGGCACAGAGCTGTTACGGAATAGATTTTCTGCCCAGGTAATCCAAAGGCATCGTTCCCTCTATATTATGCTGAATTCACCTGAATTCCATTAGCAAGGGAGCTTCAAGGCTGATATTGTTGATTGAATTGCTCTCAACTTCCATAACGGTATGATTGACATCAGATGGTCCAGGACAAAATGTCCCCCTTTGGAAAGCTGTGGCACCAGATTCATTTTGACGTCATTCATAACATGATTTCAGCTAGAAATAATTCTAAAAGTGTCTGCTCTAAAGGAACTTGATTCCTATACTATGATAACATACTTCTCAGTTTGATGGGCACTGAAGCAGAAATCACAGCAAGGCACTGTAGGTGGTCTTGCACCAAGATCTCTTTTAGTGCTGGAGCAGGGCCTAGGCTGATGTTGAGTTTCCTGTCCTGCTTTTAGTGATGGATTCTGGCTCTGAAGTGTTTTATGGGAGGCAAAAGCTTTAATTTATGTTTAGTTTTTCTTTTCCAGGAAATTCATATTTAGTATAAACACCAAACTGTATCCCAGTGGCACACTGCAAAATATCGACTGTCAACTTCATTTCTTATTACTCTAAATTGCACTCAGTAATCCATGGATGAGTTTATCTTTCTGCTCAGTTGCTTCCCCCCAAATCTGATGTTTTTTCCCCACATATTGACTCTAATGAGAATTTGATGTCTTTAGAAGTTATTTTTTGGGTTTCATCAGCAGTCATTAGTTTTGATTCAGAAATTCACCAATGAAGTTTGGGGCCTATGTTACAGTGATCATAATGAAACTTCCAGGACGTTAACATCTGTGAAAGGTTTGGATTTAATTTATTAATTTCTGAGGAACTTCACTGGTAAAATTATAATGAAATCTCTTCCTTGCAGTTCCGTAGGGGTGTTAGGATGTAATTTAGCAAAACAAATGTAACTGCTTCTTGAAGTCTCAGCAGGGTGAGGGGAAGGGTCTGTCGAGTTCTTGAGGTGGAACTTTCTTGTACCCATAACATTACATTGATATTCTGATGTTTCTACAGTGGCTGAAGGAAATGGAGTAATCTTTTAATGAAGACACTTTATTTCAGGCAGCCAGGTTATGCTTCCTGTGATCTTCAGGAAGATGGTATCTCAGTGCTTCATTTGCTGAGATGGAGGTCAGGGAACTCCTCTGTCTTACCTGTGTTATTTGGTCTAGAGCACTATAGAGTTGGGACAATCTCCTATAGTCCATCTGTATGGTAGATAGAACAATGACAGTCCTAGCCACTGCTGTAATATGAATTTACTGTAATATAAAACTTATAAATATTTAACCTGTTTCCTGGCTTATTAGTAAAATCTAGTCCTGGAGGATAAAAGTCACAGAAGTAAGTAGGATCTAGTTGGTAGGAATCAGTAGGGTTTCTGTAAAGGTAAGTTCTGCTTTACAGACATCTTGGAGTTTTATTGATGGGGGCGGGAAAGGTGGCTAAGCTTTATATTCCCAAAAGGCATTTGGTAAAGTTTGACATTGAACGCTTTTTAGCAGCCATTGGATAAGAATGCAGGGCTTTTTATATTAAGTAATGGATTTAAAGATAGGAGGAGGGATAAATTACTGATTTTTTAAAAATTTTAATGTAGGAGGGAAGTTACCAGCAGAATTTTTGAGGATTTGGTATTGGGATCTGTGGTGTTCAATATAATAATAACAGGGATAGTAAAGGCAGTGAGTAGTCAAATGAGAAAGTTTCCTAGTGTTACTGTTCTTCAAGGCAGTAAAGAGGGAAGAAGAGAGTGAAGGATTGCAGGAGGCCTGTACAAAACTGAGTGATTGGGCAGCAGGGCAGCAGGAGTGTTTGGAGGCTGCATACATGAAACAAGAGGACACTTCAGCCTGAAAAACAATCTTAGAAACATTAGGTTAAAAGAGATCTTGAAAATCATTGAGTCCCACCATTAATCTAACACTGCTAAGTCTACCACTACACCATGTCCCTGAGCACCACACCTACAGGTCTTCTAAATACCTGCAGGGATGGTGACTCAGCCACTTCCCCGGCCACCTTGTTCCAGTGCTTGACAACTCTTTTGCTGAAAACATTTTTCCTGATATTCAATCTAAACCTTTTCTGGTGCAACTTGAGGCTGTTTCCTCTTGTCCTGCTACATGGGAGCAATTGCTTGGCTAGCCAGCTATTGACCAATACCTCCAGGTCTTTTCTGCTGGGCGGCTTTCCAGCCATTCTTCTCCAAGCCCAGTGTTGCATGGGGATGTTGTTACCCAAGTGCAGGACACGACTCTTGACCTTGTTGAACCTTATACAGTTGACCTCAGCCCATCAATCCAGCCTGCCCAGATCCCACTGTAGAGTCTTCTTACTCTCAAGTAGATTAACACTCCCGCCCAACTTGGTGTCACCTGCAAATTTACTGAGGGTGCTCTCCATCCCCTTGTCCGGATCAATGATAAAGATATTGAACAGAACTGGCCCCAGAACTGAGCCCTGGGGAACATCACTTGTGACCAGCTGCCAACTGGATTTAACACCATTCACCACAACTCTTAGGGCCCGACCTTCCAGCCAGTTTTTACCCAGCCAAGTGTATGCCCAGCCGACCCACGAGCAGCCAGTTTCTCCAGGAGAATGCTATGGGAAGCAGCATCAAAGTATTTACTAAAGTCCCGGTAGACAACATCTACAGCCTTTCCACTCATCCACTAAGCAGCTCACCTTGTCATAGAAGGAGATCAGGTTAGTCAAGCAGGACTTGCCTTTCATAAACCCATGCGCACTGGGTGGAATCACCTTGTTGACCTGTATGTACCCCATGATGGCGCTCAAGATGATCTCCATAACCTTCTCTGACACCGAGATCAGACTGACAGGCCTATAGTTCCCCAGATTCTCCTTCTGACCTTTCTTGTAGATGGACGTCACATTTGCAGCCAGCGCTGCTGATAAATGATGAAGAGTGGCTTGGGGAGCATTTCTGCCAGCTCCTTCTGTACCTTTGGGTGAATCCCATCTGGCCCCATAGACCTGTGTATGTCCAAGTTGTGTAGCAGTTCACTAATCATTTCTGCTTGGACTATGGAGGTTTCATTCTGCTCCTTGTCCCTGTCTTCCAGCTCAGGGTGTTGGGCACTCAGAGAACAATTGGTCTAACTGTTAAAAGGCTGAGGCAAAGACAGCATTGAGTACCTCACTCTTTTCCAAAGCCTTTGTCACTATGTTTCCCTCCCACATCCGATAAAGGATGTCGATTCTCCTTAGCCCTCCTGTTGTTGCTAATGTACTTATAGAAACATTTTTTATTGTCTTTATAGCATTAGCCAGGTTAAGTTCTAATTGAGCTTTGGCCCTTCTAATTTTCTCCCTACATAACCTCATGACATCCCTGAAGTCCTCCTGAGTGGCCTGACCCTTCTTCCAGAGATCATAAACTCCTTTTTTTCCTGGGTTCCAGCCAAAGCTCTCAGTTCATCCAGGCAGGGTTTCTTCCCTGCTGGCTTGTCTTTTGGCACATGGGGACAGCCATCTCCTGTGCCTCTAAGATTTCCTTCTTGAATAGAATCATAGAATCGTAGAATCATAGAAGGGTTAGAGTTGGAAGGGACCTCAAAGATCATCTAGTTCCAACCCCCCTGCCATGGGCAGAGACACCCTCCACTACACCAGGTTGCTCAAAGCCTCATCCAACCTGGCCTTGAACACTTCCAGGGATGGGGCATCCACAACTTCTCTGGGCAACCTGTTCCTGTGCCTCACCACCGTCAGAGTGAAAAATGTCTTCCTTATATCTACTCAAAATCTCCCCTCTTTCAGTGTAAAGCCATTGCCCCTTGTCTTATCACTACATGCCCTTGTAAAAAGTCCCTCTCCAGCTTTCCTGTAGGCCCCCTTTAAGTACTGGAAGGCTGCCATAAGATCACTCCGGAGCCTTCTCTTCTCCAGGCTGAACAGTCCCAACTCTCTCAGCCTGTCTTTGTAGGAGAGGTGCTCCAGCCCTCGGATCATCTTTTTGGCCCTCCTCTGGACTTGCTCCAGCTGCTCCGTGTCCTTCATGTGTTGGGGACTCCAGAGCTGAACACAGTATTCTAGGTGGAGTCTCACGAGAGCAGAGTAGAGGGGCAGAATCACCTCCCTTGATCTGCTGGCCACACTTCTTTTGATGCAGCCCAGGACACGGTTGGCTTTCTGAGCTGCCAGTGCACATTGCCGGCTCATGTTGAGCTTCTCATCCACCAGCACTCCCAAGTCCTTTTCCTCCTTGCTGCTCTCAATCCATTCTCCGCCCAGCCTGTACTTTGCTTGGGATTGCCCCAATAATAATAATGTCCAGCCCTCCTGGAATCATTTGCCTCTGAGGACTGCCTCCTAAGAGACTCTGTCAACCACGCTCCTAAAGAGGCCAAAAGATGGATGAGAACACATCAAAGAATCATACGGATGGTAAGGGGCCTGTGGGTCTTCTCGTCAGAGATGACAGGATGTCTCTGATTGAGATGTAAGGTCATATTGTAGATGAAGATGTTTCCAAAGAGAAACTAGAGGAGTATTTCAGAGAGAAATCCCTTGGCAGTTACAAAATAGACCAGCTGTGAGAAGCTCAGGGAAACATCTGAAAGAAATAGATAATAATGGAAGAGTATTTGAAGGAGGGTTTTAACTATAATTGCACTGTTCTTACAATTCCTTGTTGTCGCTGTTGAAGGTAGAATATTAGGCTGTTTTCACTCTTGCGTACTGGTATGGCCATGGGTCTCTTACCCAGTTGCTTGGACTGTTGAGTTTGATATCTAAGGTATGTTTTCATTCATATATAAATAAGCATATAGAGAGTTAATGTAGATTTTTTTTTGTAATATATGTTTAGTTGTATATAAGAAGATTTTTTTTTGTGTGTGATTAAATTATTTTCCTTCCTTTCAGTATCGTTTTATGGTGATAGCTTTGTGGAGTTGAAGACGGAAGAAACATCCTCTCAGACATCCTTACAGTTGCGGTTTCGAACAAGCAAGTCACATGGACTGCTTTTTCTTGCAGCTGGGAAGACGGATTATTGTTTAATGGAGATATCCTCAGGGAATTTAAGGGTATGGTTTATAACTATAACTGAAAAGATATGTTTAGCCTGTATTGATTAGGTTTTTTCTTCAAACTATTGTCTGTAACAATTCTCAAAGTTTATGTTTAAAAAACATGAGAGAATCATAGAATCATAGAATCATAGAATGGCATAGGCTGGAAGGGGCCTCAGAGATCATCGAATCCAACCTCCCTGTCATGGGCAGGGACGCCTCTCAACTAGACCACGCTACTCAGGGCTCTGTCCTGTGGCCTTGAACACCTCCAGAGAGGGGGCATCCACAACTTCTCTTGGCAATTTATTCCAAAGTCTTAACACCCTTGTACTGAAGAATTTCTTCCTAAGATCTAATCTAAATTTGTTCTTCTTCAATTTAAACCCATTTCTCCTTGTCCTATCAGTGGACACTCTTGTAAAAAGTCCCTCCCCAGCCTTCCTGTATGTTCCCTTCAGGTATTGGAAGGCAGCTATTAGGTCCGCCTGAAGTCTTCTCTTTTCAAGGCTGAACAATCCCAGCTCCTGCAACCTGTCCTCGTAGCAGAGGTGCTCCAGCCCCTGGATCATCTTTGTGGCCCTCCTCTGAACACGCTCCAACAGATCTATGTCTCTCTTATGGTGATATAATTGATAATTTCAAAACATGGTATTTATTTCTTACAATGATAGTTAATAAAATTGGCCTTTTAAAAGCCTTTGAGATCTGTAGATCTTAAGATTGTTGTGTTAAAAGCATGAGGTTCAGTAAAGGCAAAATTTTGTATTTGATTATGTTCATCACAGAAAATGTATGGATCCAAATAAGTTTTTCTGCAAGGTAAGTTTTTGAAAGATCACTGTCACTTGGATTCTCAGGAGTTGTTGATCCTAGCAGAACTGCAGAGGAGTCTGTTCGCTCTTCTGCAATTATTCAGATCATATTTGTGATGGCAAGTAAATGTACACAAAGTTTTGTGGATTTTGTTTTTTCAATTGTATTTTGTAAATTATGTACTTAATATGAAAATTAATCTATTAATGATATATGAATATATAATTGTGAAAAATACCCCTTTGGATTTTGATGCTTACAATTTTGTCTTTTGCAGTTGAGAATTAATTTTGGCGCGGGGGAGCGAGCACTGCATTCTCAGCAAAGATCTCAGCTGAATGATTTAGCTTGGCACCTGGTTGAACTACATCATGAACGTGATAATGTCACATTGGTAGTTGATAAACATGATAGAACTAGTGCAAAAATGCCTGGAATTCTCTATGAATTAAATATTGATTATGGATTCTATGTAGGTGGTACTAGTAAACTTGACGTTCCCTACCTTGTTGGAGCACTGCCCAATTTCCGAGGATGTATTGATGATGTGTTGTTCAATCAGCTGGACATTCTGATGCCTCTGAGACCTTCTCCTGGCTTCAAAAATGTCCATGACATTTCAGTGGGATGCAGTGATGAATTCTTTGCAGGTGAAGATGAACCCGTTAGTTTCTTCAGTTCCAGATCCTATGTTTCTTTCCCATCATGGAATGTTGATGATGAGGGAGTCTTGGAGTGTACCTTGCAAACCTCAGCTGCACGTGGCTTGCTGCTTTATCATCCTGGGCAAGCAGGAGATTTTGTTGCAATGGAAATGGAAGATGGATTCATTAAAGCCTATGTTGGAAAACATAAAAGTAGATCCCAGCTTTCCTCTCGTAAGTCTGTCAATGATAGTCATTGGCACTACATTGAACTGAAATTTACTGCAGAATATTTGCAGCTGACACTGGATGAAGAAACTGTGAAAAAATCGTTGCCTCCCCACAGCAAGCTGCCGCTTCTGCAGGGGTCTCTCTTTGTAGGTGGTGTAGATGACAGTGCACGATCAGAAGTGATTAAGTTAGAGCTAGCTTCAGTGTCTGGGAAGTATGCCAGAGGAGGGTCCTTCAAAGGTTGCTTAAGAGATCTGAAAGCCAATTCAGAAAAAAAATCACTGAAGAATGTTCTGGTAACAAAGGACATTTCAGCTGGATGTGAAACACAGAGCGCTTTTAATACAAATCTTTCTTTAGAGATGGCGGCAAAGAACCCTACTGTGAAAGCAGCCCCAACATTTGCCATTTCCCCTGAAAGCTCTGTCTCTGTGGGCAAGGAAGACAAAAGCCACATTTTAGTTCTAAGTAACTTGATTGTGCTAGAGGGCGAACAAGCTTCACTTGGATCTAAACATATTAAAGTCAACTTAGACTTCCAGAAATTAGGGATTCATCAATCACAAGTTCTTTTTGAAATAAAAGAACCACCGTCTCATGGAGACTTGAAACTAGATGTTGAACCGGCACAGGAGGTAAATACATTCACTATGCAGGACGTGTGGCAAGGGAAGATTCTTTATGTCCACGATGGCTCTGAGGACACTTACGATTATTTTAATTTCTCCATTTCTGCCAGCAGTGAGAATAGTATGCCTTCGTATTTGCAAGGAAATGAGCAGCATGTGTTTAGCATTACTGTCACTCCAGTAAATGATGCGCCTGAGATCACACTTCCTGAGGGAAACTTGCTTCTTCTGTTAGAGAACTCAAAGAAACGTTTGACTAGTGATCTGATAAAAGTTCTAGATGAGGATACGGATCCTGTGGATCTCAGTCTTTCAGTGCTTGGAAATATGAATGCAGATGCAGGATTTTTAGAAAATTCAAAGCATCCTGGAAAAGCTATTACTACTTTTTCTATCGAAGACTTAAGAGAAGGCACTATTTTCTTTGTCCACACAGGTGTCAAGAACTCAAGGATTGTTCTGAGGGCGAGTGATGGTGAGAAAGTGAGCAACACTGTTGTGTTACGTGTCATGGCAGTTCCTTTGGATTACAGAGTTGTCAACAACTCAGGAATAAAACTACTCCAAGGTGTTACAGCTCTGATTACGCCCAGGCATCTGGCAGTTGAAACAAATGCCAACCTCCAGGAGGTGGAGATACGGTATGAGATCACGGAGCCACCCCGCTTCGGAGAAGTCCAAAGGCAGCATTCAAGGGGGGAATGGAAGCGAGTCAACTCTTTTTCTCAACGCTCTGTTCAGCGCAGCCGTGTGAGATACTGTAGCACCTTTAAAGAAATTCAACTGGAAAATGTTACCGACCAATTTAAATTCAGAGTCAGCATAGGAAACAGAATCAGTGAAGAGCACGTGTTTCCGATCAAAGTGAAATGGTTAAGGTACAGTTTATTGAAACATGTTCCTCTAGAAATTGAAAAATCAAAGAAGAAATACTTGAATTCAGATAATCTATTTGCTGTGATTGTGGATCTAGAAATACCTGAAGATGAGCTTCATTTTAAATTGCTGTCTCTACCGAAGAATGGACAAATATTGCTTAATGACCAGCCTTTGAAAAAAGATTCAGTCTTTAGCCAGAAAGATATTGCTGATCAAAAGGTGGCATATGAATTAATCAGCAAATACCATGAAGACAACCATGATTCATTTAGATTCCTCATTTTTACAACGTATCTGGAATCCAATTTATATGACTTTGAAGTCTACATCAAATCAGATGTCAGAAACATTTTTTTGACGAACAATGGCCTAACTGTTACTGAAGGTGAAGGAGAGTTAATAACAAGCACAAAATTGTTTGTGCAAACACCAGACAATAAAACTTTCCAATATAGAGTTACACAGTTTCCTAAACATGGGAAGTTAAAACTCATTAATTTTTCAGGCTCATTCGAGAGTAATGACAATCTCACCACTTTCACTAACAAAGATATAACTGATAAGCGCCTTATGTATGTGCATGACGATTCCGAGACAGCATTTGATGAATTTCTTGTCAGAGCTTCCAGTGAAGAGTCAGGAAAGTCAGCAAGCTTTGATCCAGAAGTAGAACCTTTGTCAGCAGAAATTAGATTCAACATTTCTGTGCAGCTGAAGAATGATGAGAAACCGGTACGTGTAATTGATAAGATATTTAACATAGTGAGAAATGGGCAGCGATTATTAACTTTAGCAGATCTTTGCTATCATGATCCTGATTCTGATTTCGATGATGGACAGTTGCTATACACTAGACGAGGCATTTCCAATGGGGACTTGGTGCTAACAAACGATACTTTGCGCAGACTCTACCAATTCAAACAAGCAGACCTGGAGCAAGAACAGGTCCTGTTTATACACCATGGTGCAGATTTTGGGCGTTTTGTGCTCTTTGTGACAGATGGCAAACATTATACCTCTTCACTTCTAGAAGTTAGTGCCACTGATCCATATGTTAGGTTGGCAAATAATACAGGCATGTTGGTTCAAAAAGGAGAAGAGAAAACACTTACAACAGCTAACCTAAGTGCTGTTACAAACCAAGACATCAGAAATGATAATGAGATTACGTATGAGATATTCTCTTTTCCGAAATATGGAAGAATATATGTAAATAATCTATTGACGGATTCCTTTACTCAACTTGATCTGATAAACGGGTTTGTGACCTACAAGCATGATGACAGCAACAACCTTATTGACACATTTAACTTTACAGTCCATGCTAGAGATGTCCATCTGGATGGTGAAGTGCAGGTTCGCATATATTTGGAAAGTCATCAGTGGCCACCAAGGATTGTAAACAAAAACAGTCTCTTAGTTGAAGAAGGAAAACCAGTTAAAATCAGTAAAGGAAAACTGCAAGTAAGTTAACTGTGTTGTCCATATCTCCAATCTTGCAGCAAATTTTCTTCACTGCTTTCTCAGCAATTGCAATGTCTTTAGTCTCTGTCTTTTCTTTAACTCCTTTTGGTTTTCACTAACATGACTGCATTCTGGATGCTTAATTCTGGGGAGACAAACACTGGCAAGCTTCAGTTTCTAGAAGGGAAATGGGTTATGTTAAAGAAAAAGACTGCTCATAGTCTTTGTTACATGTTGGTGCTTGACAAAGTTAAGATTTGGAGATGCTGCACTTGTGTATTTGTTTTCATTATTACAATTGTTGGTACTTAATGGTCATGTAGCTTTCTTTGTTGAGGTGATGGGAAATTCCAAGGAAGAGTGAGTTTTGTTTCATTTAGTGTGGAGCTAGCCAAATTGACACTGTCTGAGTATTGCATCCAAAATTTTAAAAAGTCAAGTCACAACCCTGAGGTCATTTCTCTTTGGTTAATGTTTTCCTCCCCATTGTTGGTGTGTAGCCTTTCAGTAACCATCGCGAGGGGGCTCTGGCAGCACGTAGTAGTGCTGCTGGAATCCCTATTTCAGGCAGGGTCTTCAGTGCTTAGACTGTTAGTTAATTCCACAATGTGTTCCTTTTCAAGATTTACAAGTTTGGAGCTACCAAACACTCCCATGCCACACTATTTAACGAGTCTACTTAAAGTATTACTATATTGTGTTTGGAATTTACAGATACACTGTGTAACTCAAACAAGGAATGCTCATTAATGAGGCAGACAATCCAGGGGTTAAAAGTGAAAAAATCATAAGAGAACTAAAGGATTTATCCCATTTCTGTTCAAATAATTTTGGGGTATGTTTTTAAATTTAAGGTCGTTCATGAAAACAGTTCTCCATCTGAGATCGTGTTCACAGTAAGACAGCTTCCAGTACATGGATACATTCGGAAGTTTTCCTTGGAAGAAAGTTATCTTGGTACTGACCAAAGACCAGTTTTGAGCTTCACACAGCAAGATGTTGATGAGGGCAAAGTTCAGTATGTGCAAACAGTTTCTGATCAACTAGATGACCGTTTTTCTCTGGATGTGACCAACGGTGTCCGAACAGTGAGTGGAATAGAGATGTCTATAGACATCATCCCCAGAATGATTCCCTTGGAAGTACAGAACTTCACAGTAATTGAAGGAGGCTCAAAAGCCCTGGTGGAAGACTATCTAAACATTTCTAGTAGACACTTTGCAGGACTCAGCTGTGAATTTATTTTAATTGAGCAGCCAAAACATGGGTATATTGAAAACTCTCGTGTTCCTGGAATAAAGTTAAGCACATTTACCAGAAAACAGGTAATGCATTTAGATCTGCTTTGCTGTAGTCATGATTAATTATTTTTATTCGTAAAAGCTAATTTTTGCCTGCGGTGGGACAATTTGGTGGGAGGTGGTAAGATGCATGAATTTGAGCTTTATTTTTTTGGCTTTGTACTGAAGATCTTTCTGCAGTTGCTAGCTGGTCAATTGGGGCGGGAAAGGAGAGTGCCCCATTCTTGTGATGAACCACATCACTTCCTTGCGAGTCACTAGTCACACAGACTAGTGTGCTGTAATCACAGTAGACTGATGGGCCACTTGTACTCAGAGTTGTTAATGCTCTGGAAACCTACCGTGGGTACATTTTGAAAAGACCAGACGAAATGGTGTGTAGATTGAACAAGGAGGAAAGTGGGAAAAAAAAAATTTTTTTTAAGATCCCGCCTTTGCTCACAGAGAGCCAGTATATGCATAATAAGCTAATTTTCAGTCTTTTAGCTCTAACAAGGAAAACTGTATCCTAAGTTGCCATCTGCTGATACTATAGATTCCAAGAAACATTGTGGTAAGTATAGTAGATTGAATTTTCCGTTTTCTCTTCAGAGGGAAAGGGAAATGCCAAGACTGGCAAGTTAAGATATTCTAACTAGAGGAATGGACAGATAAGCTGTAAAATTTACTGTTGGGGACAGAATAAAGATAGAAGTACAGATCATATATGAGCATAAATAAAGTCTTAGAAGTCACCAAAATTTTAGGCAATAAATACAGAGGGGCATGACTAGACTTGAATATTTTTGTGTTTTTAATGTGGTATTCATTTTCTTTTAGCCTCTTTAAGTTTTCAGGTTGTTATATTTTTCAGGTGGAAGAAGAATTAATCTACTATGTTCATGATGATAGCGAGAAACTGATGGACAATTTTACTGTGATAGTAAATAACACAGAATTGTGGAAACAAAGCTTGCCCCAAACTGTATTTGTAACAGTTACTGCACTAAATGATGAAGCTCCTGTTATAAAAGTTAACAGAATTCTTCAGGTATGTTTGTCAACATTTTGAAATGTTAAAATTATTTTTAACATAATACCATTTAATGCATCTTCATTAACAGAGTATTAGGTTTGTATTTGGTGGGATAATCAGTATAATAAATGGTGGTCCTGGGATGTAAATAGATCAGTGTTAATGAAGGGAGGCAGTACATGGGTAATGTGCATTTAAGGAGATTGTAGTCATGAAGAACATTTTCCGCTGTTTTAATATAAAGTGTGTCTAGAAGGCTGACTCAGCTTTCTTTTAATCTTAAAGACACACGAAGTCTTTTGGACTGACATTGGACTTGTGGGGTGGGATGGCTTGCACCTGGATCATTGTTGTGTTTTAGTGTTGTTTGCTAGGGCATCTTGAGGGCTGTTAAAGAACAGCGTAGCTTAGAAAAGTACCAAGAGTAGTGATGATGAGGGTGAAAACATCTCACTGTTGTCTGCACAGCCTTCAGACACTGTGCCTCATGCCATTAAGTGTACTTATGGGTCAGACTTGCTGAGATGCATTCTGCTGCGTGCTCCTCTCCAAGTCCCCAGTAGAACGGGCCAAGAGAAGAGAGCAGCGTTCTTACTGGCATCTCATTAGAGAGTTGACTATGTGTTTGGGTATTTCTGATACAAAACAGGAATGCTTCCTTCTTTAAAAGTTCCTGATAAGAATAATACAATGCAATCTGTGAAAATCTAGGCTGTTAGAGGTTGTCAAAATATTAGTGGAGACACTGAAGCTATTACTGTGTGATATTGTGAGCTAAAAAAGGACATGCTAACTTATTTCTAACTCTGTCCCCCCTAAATTCCTGAAGAAAATTCAAAAATTGTTGACTGATGCTACGTTTTGCATTTCATAGCCATAGCTGGCTTTTTAATTCTTTTGGTCTTTGAAAAAAGTCACTACTGTCATTTCAATTTCAGAGCTTTTTCAGATTTATTTCTTTATTTGTAGGATTGTTGTTTGTTTGTGTTATAATAACACTCAGTAACCAGAACCAATTTTTTGTGGACACGATACCCATGTAAACCAAAAAGTCCCACTGTGTAAAGGCTTCTAATCTGATGTCTGATGAGTAAAAACAAATTAGGTGACTTTGAAAGGCAGAATGAAATGGATATGGGTCAGCTAATGAACCTGTGGTTACAGTAAACCAACTGAGAGGCATCAAGACAGGCAAGATATTTAGGAGTAGGCTTGAAAGAAGGTAAGCAGGGTATTTTGAGGCTACGTCAACCCCGGTGCTGTATGATGCAGTTTACAAACTGATGACACCTAAAACATGCATTTAATGCAACTGAATCTTTCAGTTGTGTGTTGCAGAGGGAGAATGGATTACTGTAAAGATGATCAAAACCTTGTGTTGTGTATTTAGCCTTTTCATATGAGAAAAGGCATAATTTTTAAGCAGTGATAGTGGTAGTGTTGTGCAGCTTCTCAGTGACAGCAGGTAGTCCATGATAATCTGCAGATGCCCACAACACGAGACGCCCTTCCCTGCGCAGAAGCTGCTGGCAGAAGGGCAGGCTCACTTAACAAGCATTTGGGTGGTACAGAGTAAAACCTTCCCTGGTTAAAGTAGTCACAGTAGTACTCTACAGACATCAGCACAGCACACAGTAATGTTTGTCTAGTTGCAGACTAGAGGAATATATGTCTAGTTGGAAATTTTTCAATATTTCTCTTCTGATGCATTGCTAACATTGAACTGCAGTCTGTTAACAGAACTGAGGCTGTGCAAGTGCACTGCACTGCAGCATGTGGATTTTTTGAACATATCTGTAAGTCTAGGCTTCCCGAGAGCAATGACAACACAGCTTAATTTAGCCAGAGTTGGTCTTCTGGGGAAGCAGTTTGCACATACCTAGAACCAAGATGCTGCCTTTGTGCCTGTGGTTTTTACTGGTCATGCATAAGCTATTGCTGAGAAATAACCTTTATTTTTGTCACGAGCAGGTACAAATGTGCACATGTATGTTGGATTCATGTGCAGACTAAACCAAAGCTGACAGTGGAGTTATATACTGGGAAGAATACACTGCAATGATCCTTCTTCAAAGCAAACTTAGACATCCCAAGTAGGTGGGAGGAAATGGGTTTTTCTTAGTCCTGCTAAATATTGATATGAGCCAGGCATTCTTGTGCAGGGTGATACTTGCTGGACCCATGGTCTAGCTCCTCCAGGACATTGATAGTGGTGAATGTTGAGTAATAAACTGTGTTGCTTTTAAGAAGGCAGTAGCTGTTTTATCTCTTTTGAAAGATTGGAAATGTACAAAATGTACGAAAGTATAAAATGAGGGACCGGTACTGTGAAAACTGAGATCCAGTAGGGCCATTCGAGTTGACTGAAGTTTAGCACCTCAGAAATTTTGCAGATCTCAATATGAAGAGTAAGAAAGAACTGCTGAACAATAGAAAAATAGGTTAGCTTTTGGCATCTGCTGTTGACAGATAGCTTCTGTGAAGAGCTGCGTTACAGGGCCAGTGATGTTGATGTGAATATATGAAAGTTACTTTTGCTCTTTGTCACGGGGCTTCTGGCCAGATGCAAGAAACTGTTGAGCATGTGCACACATGCTGAATGAGTCCTGCAGCTCTAGTTCCCTTGCTTCTAAGGCATCCTTAACATCCCTTCTTCAACCAACCTTGTCTGTTGTGATCAAGATTATGAACACAATCAAGGTTATCATAGAATGGCATAGGCTGGAAGGGACCTCAGAGATCATCTAATCCAACCTCCCTGTCATGGGCAGAGACGCCTCTCAACTAGACCACGCTACTCAGGGCTCTGTCCAACCTGGCCTTGAACGCTTCCAGGGAGGGGGCATCCACAACCTCTCTGGGCAATTTATTCCAAAGTCTCACCACCTTCATACTGAAGAATTTCTTCCTAAGATCTAATCTAAATCTGTTCTCCTTCAACTTAAACCCATTTCCCCTTGTCCTATCAGTGGACACTCTTGTACAAAGTCCTTCCCCAGCCTTCCTGTATGTTCCCTTCTGTTGCTCACCAGCCTGGGCTGCGGCTACAAGGATGTCGTTGCATTTTCCACATCCAGGAAGAAGTGGCCCGCCTTTTATAGGCAAGGTCTAAACCGTAATTAGGAAATCAGTCGATTCAATCCAGCTGTGCAATCTGGGCGATTGCCACAGTTGCAATAGCCATATTTCCCCCTTTTTGTTTGTCGTGGGTTAGGTTGAACCGCCCCCCCACCCAGCCAGCCACTCCCC